AAGGTGCTGCAGAACCAGAACCAGGTGTTCTGGAGGTTTGTTAGATGTGACTGTGTGATGTATGACGGTGGGTTTCCGGACTCAGGCTCCTTCTCTCCTTCCTTCGTGCTTCCTGCTGCCTACATGTCCCAGGATGCTTTGCGGCGGCAGCAGCTGGTCTCCGGTTCGCCCGCAGCACAGTGATGAAGACGCCAACAAGGTAGAATGAGCCGCTCCGTCCGCCGGTGCTGCTGATCCGAGGAGCAGCATGGCTGTGGAAGGTAAGCACCGGAGCTGCAGCCTGCAGCCGTGTGACGGTCGGTTCCGCTCGGTTCTGCTGGGTTGAGCCGCGGCGGGTCAGTCGTGTGTTGCTGTGTGCGCGTTCACCTGTGATCGGCGTATCGATCCGCTGCTGCATGATCTCACCTCAAGTCTCGTGTTGACGCGCAGCCGCTTTCCGCCTGTTCCGTGTGCGCGCCGCTCCGCGTTAACAGGTCCGCCGCCGCCGCCGCCGCCGCCGCCGCGCACGGAGTGTCCTCTGGCTGCCGGAGCCGCCGCCGGTCACCGGACGGACTGTTTCCGGACAAATTCGGTGTTTCGCTGCTCGGCAGGTGGCCGCACGCGCACCGTGACTGTCGCTGAAGCGCGAGCTCCGCCGCCGGGATGCTCGGTCAGTCTCCGCACCTGATCGGCGGCATCTTGTGGATCCAGAACCCGATGAGAGGTACGTTGTTCGGGGTGGTTCCTCCGGTCGGCCCGGTCCGGTCCGGCCGGTGGTTGGTGTGAACGCACAGGTTGAGGTATGATCGGTATGACGCGCTGCTCACCTGCAGGATCAGGTTCCTGCTGCAGCAACCTGTCTCACCTGTTCAGGTGGTCTGTGGTCGGCTCCTGTTCACATCAACGTTTTGAACTACAAATACAAAGAAACAGCAAAATGTGTTTATTCATTAAAATGACAGGTAAAATGTGGATAAATGTGTTTTACATCAAGTCCAACAACCGTTTGTTCTTTTACAAAGTAGAACCATAAAGTTAGACTTTAAATCACTTTAAACGGGATGATTTTACAGATTATTGCTGTTAGTAGAAACATAAATCATATATAGTCAGGACAGGAAATTAAATTCATTTATTTTCCCAGTTTTGTTCAATTACAGATAATATAAAAAATATTTATGGTTTTTTTTTTTAAAAGGCAAAAAGCAACAATTGACATGTTAACTGTAAAAAAAAATTAAAACCAAACCAGGTCCAAACTGTCACAAACATCAAAAATCTGTGTTTTTACAAATTCTAATTCATTGTTTTTGACCCTGAAGTTATGCTTTTATTTAAATTACAAACTCAAATATAAAGTATTTGAAAAAAAATGTTGTAAATGAAAAATGAAAAATGAGAGAATTTTACAGTTTTGTTTAGTTACAGATAATATTTTTATTAAATTACAGAGAAAATATAAATCCATGTTTTAAACTTAAAAAACCCCAAAAGAACAACAACATGAAGGAACAGGTGGAGGTTGTGACTAATGTCCTCGTTAGATATTTAAATACTAATTAGTTCTACTGTTTGAGTGTTTAAAGCAGCTGAAGACGTCGTCACCGTGCAGGTGTCTGCAGGTATTTTATTATGTTGAGTGTTCTGATGTTTCACGGTCCACAGACAGACTTCACTGGTTTCTTGTGGTCCAGGAGTTCGTCACACTGGTGGCAGTTCAGGAGCTCAGCTCAGAGCTCCTCCTGGTCAGGCCTCAGAAAAGTTCTTCACATGTTTTATTGGACCTGAGTGCAGCGTTGGC